AGTACCTCCATTAAACTAAATAAATAAACCTAATTACCCCCCACCTCCGAAAAAATTCCTGGAGGTAATAGTCCATGATTACTTTATTAATCACTGTAAAACCTCAGTGTCTAGACACAGGTGATCAGTACATAAGAGAAGGAAGATATAGTCCCTGCCCACAAGTTGAAGACACACAGCTATCTGAGGCAGTAGTGTTGCAGCAAAGTGTGTTACAGCTCAGTGTTATAGCTCAGTTGTGACAGCAACCTGGATCTGGGTGAGAGACCAAGCAGCACCCTGAGGGTTGGAGAACTCAGGTTTATTATGCCAGCAGGCCCAGAGGAGTTAACATTCCAAGCTCTGGACCCCATCAGTAGGTTTACACAGACTTTTATAGGGTACCAGTCTAGACTTTGCAACATTTTGTAACAACATTGCAAATAAGGTGTAACAAAGGTGACTAATCAGGAACAAGCTTTGTAGAAATGGACCAATCAAGAATGAGAGAAATGGACCAATCAGGAGTGAGGGAAATGGACCAATCAGGAGTGAGTGCAGGGAACCAATAGATTCTTAAGGATAAGTTCCGCTTTCTTAGAAGTAAGCCATTTCAGAGTCGAAAAAGCGAGCTAATGGTGCAAGGCCAGGAAACTGAATGGTGCTGGCAGGAGGGTAGTGGCTCTGCCATCTTTTTCATGGGGCTTCCCACCTCAGTAGGAGGAAAAAGAGCCAATAATGACAGCTGGAAACTCCGTAATAGGAGTTCAGTGATTTGGAGGTAGGCTGGAGAGTCAGCAAAGGCTTAAACAGCGTGTACTATGAGCTAAGTCTTAAAGGAAGAATGTAGTTTGAATTCTGGGGGAAAAAAGAGTTGTCCACAAAAAATTAATCAATAGTCAATCTGAGAAAGACATGGAAAGTTTTATTCAAGCCAACCTGAGGATTATAACCCAGGAGACAGTCTCTCAGAGTGCTGAGAACTGTTCTGAAGAGGTGCAGGGAGGCCAGTATATATGTGATTTTGACAAATGGGTATTATAATCGGCACACATCTTGGTAGAAGGTTACTGCTATTTGAGAGGATCAGATGTCTTAGTTAATGGTTTTAGTGCTTTTCTAAGTATGGGAAGATGTGAGAAACTGGGTTCATAAAATTTTCTCCTGAAAATATCTATCTGAAAGTCAGTTATATCAGTTTTCCCAGAAAACAAAGTACCTCATCTTGATCTCTACCCTGAATTCCTTTCAGGGTGTACTGTAGGTCAAGGACTACAGTGGCTAATGACTTCATTCTTATAGAATGGGATGGTGGGCAACACTCTTTGGTTTAAAATCCCCTCCCTTTTGGGCTTAACTTCAACCAAGGTTTGGGAGGCATTTTGTGACCAATTTGTCCCATGGTGCTAGGAATGCTCGCTCTCAGGTCAGGTGAGGAATTCATTGATAGGCCACTCAATGTGCTATGACTGGACTAGGCCCTGTTAACAGCAGCCAAATGCCTCTGGACCACCTGTCTTATTAGTCTGTTATGGTCCAGGAAATGGTTCCCTCTCATTGCTTCTTCCCATATCTAGAGTTACACTATTACAATCATTGATCATATAGGATTATATATTTGGTCGTTTCAAGTTGCCTAATCATAATTTTATTGGAGGCTCAGTCACACATTTGAAAATGCAAGAAACAGTAATCTTGTAAAATAGGCAGCATACAAGCAATACAGCTAGCAACATTAATAAAGTCGTAAGTATTTAAGCTAAGATCTTGTATTAGTTGTGGCCCAGTATCTCCCCAAGTCATCTGATCAGTCTGTTCTGCACTAATTGATATCTTTGAGAGAAATGATATATTGGAATTGAGATGGGATAGAAGGGGGCAGGGCACAGCCATTCAAGGAATGACACAGCGATTAGCACCAAGGGGGCAAAAAATTCAACACCCTGTAGGCACTGAGGCCTAAGATGGTGGGAGATCTGACTTCCAGTAGACTTTGAGCTTCATTATACCCTCTTTGTAATATATTAATGTGGTAAACGGCACTCCCACAGGTGCCATGACGGTCCTGAGGCTAACCATAAAAGGTCAAAAAGTGAGCAGTGGCCCAATTCCTGAGAATCCCAGCCCCTTCCCCAAAGTAGTTGGAATAACCCTCCCACTTGGTAGCATATGAAGCTATCAAGCCCATAAAAAGTAGCAACACTGAGCTTTGTGGCCTCTCGCTCCCTTGCCTTCCGAGAGACAGTCTATGGAGTGTATCTACTTTAACCTGAGCACCAATTCCCATACCTCATGGCCTTTTTCTTGTCTTCTGAAACAGCCCAAACTTTGTCTATGGAGTATGTATCTCTCTGAATAAATCTACCTTTACTCAACTGTGGCTTGCTCTTAAATTCTTCCCTACGCCAAGCCAAGGACCCACACTTGGAGGGGCACATCCAAGGGACTCAACTGAGACCTCGAACACGGCCAACCTCTGATCCTACATTTTTTCCCCCTGTATCAGAATTGTACATAAAGCTCACCAAAGATATCTGCACATACAAGGTGAGTGGTGGGTCATCATGATTCCTTACAGGATTGAGAAAGGAATGTTACCTTCTAAGGAGTTTTATGGCAAGTGCCATAAGAAGAAAAATTGATCTTTGTGGCTGAGCAGGTATTTCTGCCATTGGGGAGGTCTGGTTAACACATAATGCAGGTACACAGTGCATACTAGACAGGAAGAAGAGGCCCAAACGGACAGAGAAAAATTTTAAGTTTAAATTTTTCTTATCTTACCTTAAAATGTGAATTTTTATTTCATCAGAGGGAAAAGAAGGAGTCAGAGACATCTGAATTTAAACACTGGCTCCACATTTATGATTCTGTATGTTACTGAATTCTCTAAACCTTAGTTTCCTTCTCCATAAAATGGGAATAATCATCCTTTCCTCAATTGGTTACATAAGAATCAAGAAAATGTATATAAAGCACTTAACATAGTGCTTAGTACATAAAAACACTCAACAAATAGTAGCTTTTTATCACTGCTAGGGTGATTATTGATGTTTTTGATTTTATGTCTAAAGTAACAAAGTTGAGGCATGGTTTTTCACAAAAGATGACCAGACACATAGTAACCAGTATTTCGAAATCATTCTTTCTTGAATCAAATTATTGCCTCAGCTAACCATAAGTACTGAATTAAAAGAATTATTGTTAATTGTATGCATGGTGCTAAAAATAAAATTCAACTGGATAAATTTTAAAGATCTTACTGGTTTTATTCAATGATTCTTGAATTGGGCAGTAGCCCATCCAGCAGATAGAAAGGAGCTTTGAGAAGCTGTATGAAATGAAAGATTTTTATAGGCAGAAGGGAGCAGGCCAAAGAAGTTATAGCAAAACGCGGACTGGTTGTGGCAAGGTTCACCTTCCTTTAGGGGCCAGGATGCAGGAGTCTCTCAGGAAGATTACTTCACTAGTGCTGACCAGGTAATTCCTGATTGCCTGGTTTACGATTCCATGCCGAGGAGAGGCTGAAACTGTAATTAAGGCATTAAGTTTGCGTTTGCTGACATGGGGCCTAGAATAAATGATTCCATTTGGAGAGCCCATTGTCTTGTTTTTAACAATGGGAATGTCTTAAACTTATTTTTTTTTGCCAAATAAACCATTCTAGGCAAAAATCCATACAGATGGTTCAATTTACTCTTTTAGTTACAAGACATGTATTTCCCTAACCAGATACCAAATAATTTAGTAATACTTGCCTCTCACATCCCAGGGGCCATAGCCACAGAGATGATCTCTTAGTATTATTCACCTTATTTAGCCCCTAAGCTTCAAATTAATAGTCAAGGAAAGCTCCAAGATTCAGAGTTCTCCCTTGAATTCTGAGTTTTCTCTATGGAAAATCCTCAGAAGTTATTTCTGTATCTACCTCTTAGAATTTGATTTTCCTTTTACTGAAAAGAGTGTCAATACATTCCTTATTACCTTTGAAGAGCTAGCATTTACCAAATGCTAAACATGAAGCGGGCATTGTTTTTTAAGTGCATTACATGGATTAAGCCATATAACTGGCATTACAGCCCCTGTGATGTTGGAAACTGACTAAGTAACT